GTGTTTACTTAAACACCTCGACAGTGTGCCGAACTTTTTTTATTACACACGAGTATGATGAACAACAATCGGGGCGGACCCCATAGTCACGAAGACTTGATGTTCAGTGATATTAACCGGCAACCTAAGCCCCGGGACTCGGAGTGGCGAAAAACATAAAGCCCCACTAGCTCAGGTGTGGTATAGAACCGGGCGACAGCAAAGCTACTGACTGACGTAATTCGTTTGCCACACTCCAGAGAATCAATTATATTCGCAAATTCAAACATAGGAAGCAAGCAAACATCCACCTGGAAAGGTTACATGTGGTCGCCTGTCTTGTGTGTGTGTGTGACTAGTTGAGACGGAAAACACATCCTTTTGAAATCGGATTCTTGCGTTCATTTCGGGTTAGGGCACGGAACAACTTGCGATGGAAAAGAACACAGACACGACCAAGCAATGAACTGACTGATAGTGACGTTTTCGTTATCATATTACCTATAGTACTTTCATATTCTTCCGCGATTTCTCGCGAACACGGGTACATGGGTTCATAAAATTTGGTGTATGTGATTTTTGTCGCATCACATGGGGCTCGCACACAAATTTAGGCTTTGACCAAGTAGAAAATGTGCCCGAAGGAGGAGAAACACTTCTAATGCAGCTCCGGGCTGAATGACTAAGTACCATTCCTGGTGATCAAACACAATGACCGTTATCAATCAGACCGAAAAACCTTGTTCAGATCGTTTTAGTCTTACATTTATGAAACTATTGAGGACATAAAACCTGGATAAGTAAATAGCATTTGAATATTTTATTTTCATAAACTTATCTCGAGAGCAAAGACCTAGCAGTGTCAACGGAGTTCCAAATGGGACTGTGAGTGGACAAGTCAACGATACTATTAAATTCCCCAGACTAAATAGACTGTACTAACGTTAGCGACATATTTGTTCGTGCAGTGATGCTGAGAAAGCAAAGAATCCCTTCAATGTTCCTAAATTACAGCAAGAAGGTTGTTACGAGTTGACTGTTTGATATCCTTCAAGGACTGTCAGTCGTTATTTTGTCTGCGATAAATCACTGTAAACCACCGCAGAGCCACCGGTGGGGGCTTGGCAGTGGAAGACAAGCTGAATATCCGTAAGCCACACCAAAGATACATTAGTCCATCAGAGCTGTCCAAGTTGAACTTTTTCTCACCACTAAGTGTTACTTATTCTAATCAGCGCTCCATCTGACTTTCTGCTCAATCGACCGGACATGTAATCTAAAATAAAGTTACCAGAAGTAGTAGTCCCATCGTTCGATATCCTGGACAAATTTCTGCCTGTACCACTTGCTATACACATGGAATTTTCAAATTCAATTGTATGGACCTCAACAATGGTGAAACATATTATTTGTTTGGAAGCAGTGAACTGAATCTACCTTGGCGAACTAGCAGTCACACTCCTTACACTTATCCCTCTAAAACATTTGGCCGCAGCTATAGACGCTCACCGCGGAAGATAATATGCAGACCAGATCTTTTAGAGCTATGATACAAGTTCTGACAATCAACTATGACTTGTTTAATTGATTAACTGATCAATTTCGTTCAAGGAGAAGCGAAGTGAAAGATTTCGGAAGCAGATGGCTCGTTAGTGGATCTCATAAAATCGCGATACTATAACAGGGAGTCATGCGAATACGGAATAGTGGGCAAAGTTCACCGTGAAGTCCGGAAATTGTCAGAGCGACTTCGAAGTCGCATTGATGATGTTGCCTAGCTTGGCTACGAAACGTCTGCAAACAACAGCACTTCCAGCTCGGAGAACTCACCAACACCAACATCCGCACCCCGAGCTACAATCATTTCACATCATTTCGAACCATACATGTGTCTTTCAGTAGAGTTCCTCAGTGAGAATTGCTTTACTGAGCACGGAGCGATTTGGAAGGAGATGAAAACAGTTGAGTTGAGGGAAACAGAGACTGCTTACGTTGATTGTACGGTTGAGGGACTCGGAATTAGCTAAAGTGATGGTTAGAAACACTAGTTAATCCAACCATGTCGTAAACATTGGTGTTCATACAACTTTCACAGTTCACTTTACCTCTGAAGCTGAACAATTCGATTTAAAAAAGTCAAATCATGAGCTACAATTACAACAGAAATTCACAGAACTGTTTACAAGGCTGGTATACCAGTTTAAACTGAAATATATTACTTTGCATTGACTATCGGTGCTTCGGTTGATTTTTTTTGTTGCACCCCAATGTGTAATGAAAAGCAGACGGGGAGGACCTCATAGTCAAGAAGACCTACTGCTCGGTGGTGGAAACCGGTAACCTAAGACCTGGGATTTGCAGTGCCAAACCACATAAGGTCTTGCCAGGTTAATGACTGAAATGATTGCACAAAAGGCATAGAATCAAAACCAAACACGCCGGCACCGATTTGATGGTTGTAGAACAGTTAATCAGTCTCATATAAATGTACAAACTGGGATCGCATCTCTCCGGTCTGCATAAGGCCACCACCATGACATACCGAAATCGGCCAGCAATGCGTGCAATTCTTGCTCCGAGGAGACGCATAAATCTGGTCGAAGCGCATCCGGACCGGGCATCATTTCCCACGGATAGACTAAATTGTTGCCTTGTCGTGGACGCTCTTTCGGAGAGACCATAAATTCCAGTGTGATGTTGAAACTTTCCGCGTATCGACTGGTGAAACCGCCGAAACCGCTACTGGTGTCCAAACAGTCCAAGTCGGATCTGATAGGACAAAAGGGATCCAGGAACCAGGCATATTCGGTGCTTAGCAAAATTAGCGAAGACCAGACTAGACAATACATTGCAACTTGCAAGCAACAAGAGGAGCAAAAGAAGATGGATAAGATGTGGGGAAATATAGGAAAGGTGAGCATATCATTGAGCGAACAAAGGACCGCCAAGATGGGACAAAAATGTTCGCTTACTTAAAGTAGATTAGCTCGGACTGCTGTGGTTCCAAGAAACCGGTATACAATTGAAATTGGGCAATTTTGACCGATGCGATCTAAAAGGGATGCCAACCAGCAGAGAGAAGGGAACAGTAGAAGAGATAATAGACAAATTAAAAGTCGGAAAACAAACATTGATGAACAGTGTTTTACAATTGATGGAACTGATTTTGCATTTCCGGGTGTTTTTATGTAAAGCTTAGTCTCAAATTTTTAAATGTTACTCCAACAAGTATTTCTCTAATAAATTTCAATGAAAAGTCTTTGTGATGAAAACCACTCAGCATTGTTACTACAACTATCCTGTCCTGAAATAGACCACGCAGTAAAATGATATTTGTAAGACAAGAATACCTGTAGGAACATTTTAACTGCGACGGTTCAGTTGCCTCATAGAACACGATGCAGCATTATTACATACTGACCCATTAAATTTAGGAAAAAAACGAACCCCCTGAATATTTTCGCACCATCTACCTCCACGATGTATTAGAATAATGCCAGTGACATCACAGATAGAATGTAATGAGGGAATGAGGGTGAAAATCTGACTTCAGGTAGCCAGTAAATGAGGTCAGATTTATTCTTGCTATTCGGAAGAAATATTGCTGATTCTTTCTCCGTATCTGAGCTCCACTATGCAGCATTTGTCAAGTGCCTTAGTGTTAGAGATAAATAGGCGACCGGATTTGGTTCAAAAGAAGAGGTGAAATTCCAGGGAAGCTTGGCCTCCCTGGAATTAGCTCATCCGGCTCTCGAGGACATGGGCGAGTTATCTTGTGCAACGACTGATATTGAAATTCACAAATGAGCAGGGTGACCGATTTATCGGTCCATTTTAAAGAGACCCACTTTCTTACTCGATCGATCGAGGTCAATTAACGCCGTTTTCGTTCATTCGAGCTGCAACGCTTGGCACGTTCACATTGTTGACGCCATTTCGAATTGAGGGCGAGTTGTGTGCATGTCTCATTTGGCTTTGGTTTATGGTTGATTCTATTTTTCCTGTCTTGGTCCCTTTGAAATCTTCTTTGTCACACAATGGTGTGTAAATAAGAGGTGTACACCCATCGAGATTTTCGTAGATCAAGAAGGATTATCGAGAATATTTTGATAATGTTCTTCAAACTAGCACAACTCCCGTGAGTGTAACACGCAATTCTATTGGTATTCCTAGACTAGGTGTGTGATACACATGGTATTGCCTGGGACCATGTAATCTCAGGTTCGGTAGTCATTTGTCAATTATATTCCCTTCTACAGGGTTTACGTTATTCCTGTAAGAAACTAGAAGATATCGAATTCATTATATTAGTAACCTCCACCAGATCCCGATAGCGGCAACAAATATGGTTTTTACAGGGAACTCTTTAATCTAGACACAAGAATGGCAACTATACATCGGATGGGATGTAGCCCAATCATTCAAAATTAACCGACTGTGGCACCTTTCTGTGATCCACGGCGTGGAATTGGGGGGGAGGTGACATTTAGTTTTGTTATCTGTAAAAAAACGAAAATTCGATCTCATTATTACAAGACGACATTTCTCAGTATATTGGTGCATTAGGCTTTGCTTCGAGGAACAAATGAAATGTGGTCAAGCCCCCCCCCCCCCGCATTACTCAAGTAAGCTAATTGCAAATGTAGGATTAATACGTGTGGCATACCATTTAGTTTGGCCCATTATCTAGAGAGCGGTGATCGAGTGTTTTTTTCTCTCTTGTCACCTCAACCCAATAGTCCCTAAGATCTGAGGGTTGGACTGTGGTACGCGATACCTAGGCCCGACAGTACACCTATTCCACTGAGACTTGATGTCGTTCGCCTCATTAAACCCGAGGGCTCAGGTTGCTGAACAACAAGTCTGCGTGTCGATGGGGTTTACCCCTTCTGCTATTTTTTACACAATGGTATGTAACTAAGAAGTGTACAACCATAGGGATTACTCAAGCTAGCTGATTGCAAATGTAAGATTTATACGTGCGGCATTCCGTTCAGTTCGGTGCATTTGGCAAAAGACTAACTTTTTCCTAGGATGCTTCTCTGTTTGGGTTCTTATTTTCAAACAATATACACAGTAGGCGACTAAATTGTAACCGTTTGTTTTTATAAAGATTATCCTACTGAAATTTGTTCGGTACACAGTCTGAAATATAATTATATATAAGTTGTGAATGAACAAGAGGTGGGGAGACGAAGGCCGAACAAAAACAACACGGAATAGGGTACGGGCTTCAGTTCGAGCTAACTATGCCGAAAGTCAAAACACAGTTTGTTGGCCTACATGAACTGACAGAATAGCTGGAATTAATACCGTCCATAACGCAAACAAGCAGACGACAAATCAGTGAATTCCGGGACAAATCATTTACAAATATTCAACCGCCTTTCCGTAGAAGATGAATATAGTCTTACTTCGACATTTCTAACAATAATGTGAATAATCTTTTATTTCACTTCAGAAAATTATACAAATAAGGTATGGGAACAAAGTATACACAATCAAATAGCTATCTATAAATACAACGAAGCGAAGTGGTGCGGGGCTTGTGGGATTTGAATCCATGACCCTATGGACGATATGATTGATGATGGTCTATACTCCTAGACAGTTGCTGTGTGAACCAAAGAGGTACTTTGAACGAGTCAATGTAGGAGTGGATGATTCAGCGTGTGAGTAGATAAAATCGCCCCCAACCCACAACCCCAAAACCTCCCATATACACAAACGAACTACCGGAACATTTTGACAAGTCATGAGCTACTCACCTTATTTCGACCGGCAAACGATGAACGACAGTGGTAAATCACCACAGTTAGATCACCCATTACTGCAGTTCCATTGAGTAACAATTCAATTTTACCATCCTCCAACACGTAGGATCTAAGCGGAAAAACGAAACGAGGAACATGGTTAGCATGTCCCGTGGAGGACGCAAAAGTGTAAGTTAGTTGAGTAAGTAACGAATCAACATTTTGGCAGTGAGCTGAAATGAATCACAAAATGTACAAATAAATTCCTGTTTTCAAGGCACAAAGTAGATAAAAAGCACCTTGGTAGTCTGCCTTGGATAGTTATCTAACCGAGAAGCAACAAGCGGCAGCGTGGAGACCAGGAACATGAGTTAACAGGAATGGGATGGCCATATTGTTGTTTTGAACACTAAGGCAAAGCAGTTATCGCTTTGCACCGTAGATCAAATGGGATAATATGGGCTCCATTTGAACGATTTGGAGGGTTCTGCGCTAATCCCGGAAATTCCAGCCCACAAGGGCGGTTAGAAAGCGGTGGAATTCAAGGTAGTTTTGCAAGATTCCGCAAAGGGAAAAGATCAAGCCAACTAAGCACCCTGTTACACAATGACAATCCCCTAGGTTAAAAAAGATCCGCGTGTTTTTACGATTGCTGAGTGGTCTAGAATCATTTATTTTAACAATTTGGCAGATATAGATGGATCTGAGACTTCGGTATTTACCGAGTACGGGTACTGGTGTTTAATCGCTGTCACCGGCGTGCTTTGGATCCTACGGTCCGAGGTTCGAACCCCGTTTTTGCCACCCAACTTTGTTGGTGGGCGGCGTTGCTGTCACCCAGTTCAATATCACGTCTAACTTAGCAGGGCCTTACGTAGTTCGCCGCTAAAAGTTCTGGGGGCATAGGTTACCGATTTACATCGCTGAACAGCAGATCTTTGTGACCATGAGGCCCACCTCGTTTACTGCTTATCACACAAAAATGTGTGATAAAAAATTCAAAAAAAAACTTGTAAAGATGGATGCCAGTTGATGTCGTAGAATATGCATTTAAAAGCAAATCTCATGGGGCCATAGTAGGGTAGGGTGGTGATTAAATGTGACATCAACAGCTTAAAGAAGGATATACATGAATATCTAAATAGAACAGAACCAAGTACATAAATTTGATGATCAGCAACGAACGTCGTGGAAGGTGCTTCAGGGGAAGCTTTGTCTAGTTATTCGAATATTACTGACAACTATAAGTAGAATTTTGGGAAATCACTAACCACGCACAGATCCGTCATACCTTCGAGTGCCGCTGCTTATCGTTCAGACATTTTTTCTATAGAGCGACACTCATTAATTCACAATATGGGATACTGAAATGTCATCCACGGCTATGCGGTTGGTTTGTGAGCTACATGCGCAAGATCCATGGTGGCTCGGGACAGTTTAAACGGAACATCAAAAACTGTGGGAATATAAAATAGATTTTATGAAAATATGTTAGTTCAAGTGGTTTCAACCGCGAGCTGCGGATACTACTTACTTCAGCGTTTCATAATCGGTAAATGTGGATAGTACTCGGGTTTTCCCTTCATATACCTCAACGTACGGCCGACACCCATTTCTAAAAAGAAAAGATGACTCGTTCAGTATCCAAGATACAACTGAAGTCCTGTAACCACGCATGCACGTCAGCTGTACAATCCATGACTTGTGGACTGAACACTGACATACAGCGGAGCTAAATACCAAATACGATCAAAATAGAGGGATGCAACGTTAGAGCTGGTAATGGTGGCTTCGGGGCTAAAAATCTCTGACCAATAACGCCAAAAAGGGATACAACAGCAATGCAAAATCAAGTATGACTCATTTTAGTTGAAACGAGAAATAGGAAGTGTTACTTTCGATTATATATATATATATATATATATATATATATATATATATA